ATATAGTCTTATTGAGATAGGATCTCCCTGTAGCCCCAGCTAGCCTGGAACTCATTATGTAGACTAGATGTAGACCAGGCTGGCCTTGAATCCACAGAGATCCACTTGCATCTACCTCCCGAGTGCTGGGATTAAAGGCATGTGCCACCATGCCCTTCTTAAAATATCCTATGTTTTGTATAGAATATGTAACAGCAGTTTTAATGCTGCTGCCCCTACAAAACCATGTGAAAGTGAGACTTGTTTAGCTCACCTGCTCTGCATTAGACCAGTTCCTGCTTTCGCTGTAATAAACATCTGTCATGCTTATTGCTTAATACCCATCTCCAAGACTGAAAGGCTGTGAGAACAGGGAGTATGTTTAGTGTTCTCACCATTTAGCCCTCAATGATCTGAATCATCTCTGGCATACAGATGGCTGAATAATAAATAATTAATAGTGAACCCTGAATACCAATGGCACTGGGTAAAAGTATTTCCCTTTCCCCTCAACACTCAGGCAAGTGACAACAGAGCCACCTTGGGCTCATGGCACCACCTAGTGGGTCTACAAGAATTTATCTGCCAGGCCATGATTTCCCTCTGCCTGCTATTCTTGCCTAAAGAAAAGGAACTGTCCAGTAGTCTTTGGGTTAGTTTTCCTTTCCTTTCTTTGCTCAGACCCCTCATGCCATTCTTTTTTTAACAGATTTTTTTGTGAATTTCATATAATATAGTTTGAAAGAGTTTAGATCTCCTCCCCATCTGCACCCCTTACTACTCCCTGCCCAATTTCATGTTTCTCTCTCTCTCTCTCTCTCTCTCTCTCTCTCTCTCTCCACACACACACATACACACACATACATACACAGAGTCAAACTTGTGTCCCAAGTGCCTTTCTAAGAGGATCCACTCACTGGAGCCTGACCAACCTACCAAAGTTACACCCTTAAACAAGACTTACACTCTCCCCTTCCCAGCGGCCATCAGTCTCCAATAGTTCCTCGGGTAGGGTTGAATTTTGTTTACCCACTTTTCCATGTCCATGCTGGGAGTTTTGTCTGGCTTGAACTTATATCCTCCATGCCATTCTTGAACACACTCTCTAAATCCTTTGCTTCCCTGCAGCACCCTCTTTCACATTGTAGGTCTCAATACACTGACGGCTTGTTAAATCAATTTGGTGGGCCACTGTTAGCCTTTGAAGAAATGTAGACATACAAAAAAGTCAAATTAAAACATATAAACCAGAGAAATAACAATCCTTGAAAGCTTTGTTTCAAACACACACACACACACACACAGAGAGAGAGAGAGAGAGAGAGAGAGAGAGAGAGAGAGAGAGAGAGAGAGAGACCGACCCCGAGAGAGAGAGAGAGAGAGAGAGAGACCGACCCTCCATGCACTTTACCACAGATGTGGGTACTGGATTGTGATATAAAGTACATGACTCTTAAACAGTGTTCAATAGGAGTAGCATCTTAAGTCTGATACTGAAATCTCCCAGCCAGTGTGTTACAGGGAGAAAACATCAAGACATGCGTTAGCTGCAGCTCTTCCTGGATAGTGTGAAATGAACTCCTCTGAGCTTCAGATTTCCCAGCTTCACTGTGTCCACAAAACCTACTCATTTCCTTATCTTCCCCTTATTACTCCCTTCTGCTAAATTGCTCTTCATCTTCAACAATTGTCTTTGTTTTTTTTAACCTTTGTTCAGTCCTTTCCTGTGCATGTTAACTTTGCTCCCAACTTCTCCATTCTTCACAGCCCAGTCAAGGACTGACCATTGAGCATCCAGTGAGAGTCCAGCACACCCACTGGAAGCTGTAACCATGTAGCTCCTAGTTCATGCTGTGGTCACCGTGTGAGCTCACAAACAACTTACAGGATGGAAGAGAAAAAAGCTGCTTGGCAGTGGGATCTTTGGAGATGAGCAAAGGATATAAATAAGAAGAAAGAGGAGGGTTAATCGGAGTTCTCTGTGATTTCTGAGTTGTTGCAGGAGTGTAATAGTCTCTCCTTCCTCTCCTGGAAGGTCCAGTGTTCTACTTTATTACCCAAATGAAACAATTTCATGTCCTTGCTGTGAATGTTTAGTTGAGTAGTAGAGCTCAGAAAGAAAGACCTGGTAAATTTTCTTTCTAGAATATTATCATTTGTCAGTCATTTTTAGGATTTTGTTACTAAATTCAAATGTACAAAACAATCTACATCCACTTTTCCAAAACCATTTAAGTTAGCAGCATTGTGGCTGTAAACAGTGACTTTCTGGATTGACCTGCACTGACATGTTATTTCTGTTTCTAGTCACCAGCTGGCCATGGATGTGGAGAATAACATTGAAAAATATCCCCTCAGTCTACAGCCCTTGGAATCAAAGGTGAAAATGTAAGTCATTGCAAAGTTGCATGAAGCAATCTCTTCCTGTGTGTGTGTGCGTGTGTGTGTGTGTATGTGTGTGTGTGTGTGTGTGTGTGTGTATCCTTCTGAACACACCCAAACCTGTAGGTGTGCAGAACCATACATTTCTTGATTTCATTTTATGTGCTGGAAACTCCACGCTGGTTTAAGGAGCCCCAAAGCTGCTTTGGCCTACAGCACCATCTAGTGGGAAATGAAGGAATTGTTTTGCTAAATGACTTCACTTTCTGCTTCTGTTTCAAGTCTAGCACAGTTCTTCAACTTCTATCGTTTTCCACTCTTTCATCTTGGCCACTTGAGACCATCACCTCAACACACACACACACACACACACACACACACACACACACACTATTTTCAACTCATTTCTTCCAATTTCCATTCCAATTCTAAGTTGGATTTACACAGGAATGGTACAGATTTATAATATCCTGCTGGGTGAAAGAAAATATTCACGCATTCCACTGCAAATCTATGCTAACAATTCACCTCCTTAAGAAGCTTGCCATGTCAGCATGCAGTCTATGCCTCGTGATAAGTCTGGACACAGACACAGCTTCAGAACCAGCCTGGTACCCTGCTAGGAAGCTCCATGCCTCACTTAGTAGCTAGGATGAACCCAGCTAGTGAATAACTTTATTATGAAAGTGAATATCAACCTCACTATACACACATGGCTCTACAGACACAGGTTGCTCCAGCCTTGGGAATTTTCTCATGAAGATCAGGTCCTGTTAAGTGAAAAGGTACCATAAAGAAAATTGCTGTATGAAGAATGAGAGGGTTTCATCTAAGTGATGGAATTGAGTTAGAAAAACTTCTTAGTCTATTTTAGCTTTCAGCATGTCCAATATGCTGAGGCAGAGGAGCAGGTGCCAAGAATCAAAGGAAAAAAAAAAAAACTCTGGATCTGAGATTCCAGCCAGCTGAGAGAGCTAAGGTTTTATGATTTTATGTCTGATGATTTGATGGAGGAGTCTCAGCATAGTGAGGTACAAATAAATGGTTTTTATCTCTTCTAATAACTCTGGACCCAATTTCCACTCATTGGAGGGGGTGAGGGAGAGAGAACTTAATCTTTCCCAATAATGGAATTGGGTCCCATTAGGGAATTTATTCCAGCTCAGTGAGTTTTGTCTAATCTGGTTATTAAATTTTAACTCCTGTGGCAGGTTCTACACCTCCCCTACACACACACACACACACACACACACACACACACACAGGATTTCCTACCACCACATAGCCTGTGCCTTCATTTCCCTCTCCTCTTTCCACACTGACCTCATCTCCTTCCTCCTGCCTGATGTTCTGCTGTGGACTCACCTGCTTCCCCTGTAACTAAACTTCAAAGCTGTCCACGTTTCCTGCCAATGGTGAACATTTAGACTTGCAGACAGCTGTTTAATAGGGCTCTAAGACTTGATATCCTGGAGGATGAGGTCACAGGGGTTTCTACAAGTCCTCTCCAGTGAAGCAGTCTGTAACTGCCTTACTACAGTGCCCCTTGCTCTGCTGGGGTTGTCTTGTGACACCCCTCCCCCTGGAAGGCTTTGGATCTTTACAGGAGAGGGCATGTCTATCTTTTCTTCCTAAGGATGTTCAGACCTGAAGGGAACTAGACAAAGATGGCCTTTGTCCTGGCTCCTAGGGTCACCCTTCGAGGTCACAGGCTTGGTCTTAGGGCCTCTGACCTCCGTTGGTAGGAACAACGTGAACATCTGCCTTCTCCTGGCAACAGAGAAGAGTGAGGATCACTACATCATAAAATCTGCTCTTCTGGAAACTTCCCTCCCCTCTCTGATGAGGAGGCACAGCATGTCCCAGTGCAGGGTGTGTGCACATCCCCAAGCAGCAAAGGCAGAGACCTTGGCAGGCAGATCTCCAGACAAGAAGAGAATGTTCCCCATGTAGGCAGCCCCCACTGTGTGACACATGAGTGTGAATCCTGGCATGATGTGTCGGGGAAGGACAGGCTCCTTGGGATGGTTTCTCATATTCAAGACATCAAGAAAAGGAAAGGAAAGAAAGTATAAACTAGTATGTGACATTGCAGTCAGTGGAAGTAGAGGCCTTAGGAATAGGTGGCCTAGTGAGAAAATGTGTGTGTGTGTGTGTGTGTGTGTGTGTGTGTGTGTGTTGAGGGTGCATCACCTGGCTTGCAAACACGATTAGGAGGTCATTTTGAGTTTTAGACTTGGGCGATCAATGGACTGTATCAAAAAGGCAGCATAATCAAGAGCACACAGTCATTCGCACAAAAGCATTTGGGAAAGTGAAAGGTTCTCTGCAGGTCAGGAGAAGACAAACTTCCACAGACAGCTGAGTGAAGGCAGCCAAATGAAGGCCACCAGATCAACCTGGGGACTAAACTGGATCTGCTCTGCAAGTGGAGGCTGGAACACCCTGGGGGTGGGGTGGTGGTGAAAATGAGCAGCTAATGGATGTTAGGGCCCTGTAGAAGAAGGAGCAGTTGCCCAGGCCCATCAAGCAACCACCCTTCAGGTATGGGTCACTTTTCAGTTTGTAGCAAGTCTCAAGCAGATCTTCTCAATGTAAGCCATTACTGTGGCAACCTTCTGTTCTATGTTTTAATAAGATTTTGTGATGAAACGACATATAGATGCACTGAACATTAATCATTCTTTAAAATTCTGCTCATTAAGCATTTCATCTTCTAAATTTTTTTATTAACACAATTTTGGCATTCTGATGAAACAGCCTTTATTTTTTGACATTATTTATTTACTGTCTGTGTGTATGTGTGTACATGCCTACATGTACCATAGCATGTGTGTGGAAGTCAGAGGACAACGTAGGGGAGTTCGCCTCTCCTTCAACCATGTGGGTTCCAGGGGTTGAACTCAGGTCAGTAGGCTTAGTGGCAAAAACCTTTACTCACTGAGCTACCTTGCTGGCCTGAAACAGCCTTCAGATTATATGAAAGAGAGGGAAGGAGATAGTTTGGAAGAGGAGGACAATCCCCCAAAGAATTTTGAAAATATTTCTTTTTTAATTATTTAAAAATACGTTGACAAGTTCACTTGCACCGAGGGACATCTGGATCGAAATGCTTGACAGATAGGACTAACATATATGACAGAATACTCAAACTCTGATGGGGGGGGTAGAGAGGGATCAAAATTTGATTAAGATGTATTATATGAAATGCACAAAAACTCAATAAAAATTTGTCAGTTATAAAATAGTATGTTGACAAGCTTTTGATTACTTGAAAGAACACCCATTTTTGAGCTTTCAGAATTTGTAAAAATATTTATTAATAAAACTTTGTCAAGTTGCATTTGTTACAGCATAATATCTACTCCTGCAGTTAAAGTTTAGTTTATAGAAGATACATAAGAGGAGTTGTTGAAAGCATAAACTTTGGAATATGAGTAACTTAAGTTCAAATCCCAGCTCAGCTTTTTACCTGCCATGTGGCCTTGGGAGAACCCGTGACCTCTGACTTCCCTTGTACTCCTTTGTGAGCTGAGAACAGTCATTGTGCCTTGTAGAATTATAGTGACAGGCTTATGTGATAGTTTTAAATGTCACTTTGCCACAACTTAAAATCACCAGGGAAGGGGGTCTCAATTGAGTAATTGTCTTTACCAGGTTGGCCTGGGGGCACATCTGTGAGAGACTGTCTGGAATGTTAATTGATGTAGAAGACCCAGCCCAACGTGGGTGGCACTGTTCCTTAGGCAGGGGGACTTAAACTAGGTAAGACAGGAACAAGCTAAATGGAAAGAAGGAGGCAGCCTGAGTGCTTCTGTTTCTCTCTGCCCTTGGCTGTGTTTGGTGTGACCAGCCATTTCAAGCTCCTGCCTCTGTGACTTCTCTGCAATGATAGGCTGTCATCTGGAATTGTGAGCCTAATAAACCCTCCTTCCCTCAGTTACGTTTTATGAAAGTGTTTAATGACAGCAACAGAAATGAAGCTAGAACAGCCTAGTGTATCTTTTCCATCCAAATGATTCTCATCCAAAAGTACCTCAAAATATTTGAAAATATCTATGTCTTTTTCTAAGTAATAATAGTTTATTCCACACCTTGTCTGTTTGCCAAGTGTGGGCCTAAATGTCTTGGATACATTATCAATTAACTTCTTCAAAGAGTTTCAAAGAATTTATTATTATTCTCATGTAGAAAAGCAAAATACATACCAGTCTTTTTCACATTTTGCTTAAGGCCACAGCTAATGAGAAGTAAAACCAGGCAGGAACATCTATCACTCCGAGCACACTTCCTCAGGAGGTAGAACTTTTTCTTTAAGCTATTTCTAGGGCATGATGTTTGAAAGCTGCTTTTTAAAAAAATTTTTTTAATATTTTACTTATTATTTTTATTTTATGTGTATGTGTATATTGCCTGCATGTAGGTAAGTGCACCCGTGTCATGCAATGCCTATGGAGGACAGAAGAGGCCTGTTGGATCCCCTGGGACTGGAGTTACGGACAGTTGTTAGCTGCCATGTGGGTGCTGGGATTTGAACCCGGGTGTTCTGCAAGAACAACCGGTGTTCTTAACTGCTGAGCCATCTCTCCAGCCCCGAAAGCTGCATTTGTTAATCAGCTACTCACCATTATCCCCAGAACTGCAGAGACAATGATGCCAATATGTGGGTGAGCACTGCCTTGGGCTTTACCGTCCAGTGGGAGGAAACTGAACTTGTTGGAACTGGCCTAATCTGATGTGCTTCTTTTCAGAGTTTAATGCCAAGCTCTCCTTTGTAAACCTCTCTCCTCAGGTTTGCTCAACATTGTTTGGTTCCTCAAAAGTGCCACATTGCCCCCTGGCGGTCAATGGGCCAAAGTGTAACTCTACTAGAATTGGCACATTTTCCTTATTTTCCAAATAACCAAGGTGATTTTTCGTTTTTAAAGAGCAAAGGCTGGGGAAGAATGCCTTGGAGTCTTATACACTCGTGGATGTTATATGGATTATCAGCAGTAATAATAAAAAGTGTTCAAATATAATTTAAAGCAGAATCAGATCTTGCTGTGGGGAGATTGAAGGGCCCTTGAAAACCTTGCTTTATGGGGCTGGAGAGAGAGCACTCAGTGGTTAAGAGCACTGGATGCTTCTGCAGAAGACCCAGCATCTACATGACAGCTAACAACCATTTGTAACTCCAGATCCAGGGGATCCAGTGCCCTGTTCTGGCCTCTGCAGGCACTGGACGCACATGATGCACTTACATACATGCCGGCAAAACACTCATACACATTAGGAAATAATAAAAGAATAAAAAATTGAAATTAAAAACTCTTACTTACAATTCTGTATAAACCACGAGGAACTTATCACTGTCACATGGTCTCCAAGCACAGGCCCCAATGCTTAAGTTTCGCGTAGCTTCGTGCATTTGACCTGTGACTCCATGGCATTGCTTTGACAGTAGCCTCTAGACTTTTCCTTGAATAATGTATCCCACAAGGCCTTAATTAATTAGGAAAACCATTCGAGTCCATGTGTTGGCATTTTTTGTTCTCTACATCCTCTGCTGTTGAGAATTGATGGTCTTTGAAGTATTCGAGCCCAATGAAGACATTTCAGTTTGTTTGTATAACAAGAAATTAAATAATTACCTCATATGTGGGAGAATCATAGAAGACCAGATGCTTCTAAGAGTCTAGAAGATATAGTGACAGATATAACTGTTTTAAATTATTTCGGTACACTGTGTCCTGACAGTTGGTCCACATGTCCAAATACCCAGGAAAGGTTAGAGAGGGTTTGCTGACTACCTACAAAATCCTAGGTGTTGATGCTTGAGATTAGGATCTAGTGAATGTGAAAAAGACCCCTAACTTTCACACAGAAGAAGTTTCTATTATTCAGAGGTTGGTTCCTGATATTAACCATCGGAAATACAGATGGTCCTAGAGTGAAATCGCAAAAAATCACCTAATCCTGTGTTACTTTAATTTCCTAAATAACATATGACACATCCAGGTATCTCTTTATTTACTGGACACTACCTGTGTCCTTCCACAGTATGTAAAATCTATGATTGCAGCGTTCTGACCTGTCTTGTCTCCAGAGCTGGGGTCACTACATTTGGCTGTGCAGAGTGCTCTGCAGTGTCACAGATACCATCCTTCACCTTGAGGGCTAAGTGATTGATACCCTCGAAATGTGCACTGCTTTCTTTTTCCAGAGTCCAGGCATGAAAGGACCCTCAAAAATCACATATTAAATGAATATATAATCATCCATTTTATTATTCTCAAAAATGAGAAGTTGAAAGATTTTGGTGTCTCATAAATCAAAGAATCTTTAGTGTGCAAAGCTTTTTGACTTTGAATGATGATTTTTTTTCTCTCTGACCAAACTGACTCTTTTAGCCTGAGTTAGCCTAGCCGAGTCTGAGAAAGACAATCTAGTTGTCTTTTAAAATTCAGTTTCACAGGGCATAGTGGCACATGCCTTTTAATCCCAGCACTTAGGTGGCAGACACAGGCATATTTCTGTGAGATAGAGGCCAGCCTGGTCTACAAAGTTGTGGTCACCGCCAGCGGTGGCTGCTCCTCCGTTCTTGTGGGTGCCACTCCTTCGTTCTCATGGGCGTCGTGGCTGCTCCTCTGCTCGCCCTAGGCTGAGGCCGCTCTTTTGCCTCTCCTGGGCTGAGGCTGCTCTTCTGCTCACCTGGTGCTGAGGCAGCTCTTTTGCTTGCCCTGTGCTGCCTCCTGTCATCGCTGCTTCTGCCTGGTCCTGGACCCCAGGGCTGGTGAGGAGACTGTGTCAGCGGAGCTGCATTCAGACACAGGAGGCCAGATTCAGTGACACAGATCTGCTTTACTGCAGGAAGGCACAAGCTTATATAGGGGTAGTGGTCCAATCACAGCACAGCAGGTAGGATACCTCATTAGCATAACAGGTTTAGCATCCTATCACAGTACAGCAAGTAGGATACCTTATTAGCATTATCCTATTAGCATAACAGACTTAATGTCCTATCACAGAATAGAGGGTAGGATGCCTCATTAGCATACTGGGTTTCAGATTATAGAGCCTAGATTCCTGGAAACCATGTGACCCTGACAGTTGCAATATCACCCTAGGCTCAAGCTTATCTCCCACACAAAGTGAGTTCCAGGTCAGCCAGGGATCCAGGGAATACTTGTCTCAGAAATAGTAAAATAAATAAATAACAAATAAAAAATAAAAATAAAAATAAATAAATAAATATCTAGTCTCAGTGGCCAAAGTGGAGCTAAAGGCCCAAGTGTTCTTTCCCAAAACACATTCTATGTATAGTTTATCTCCAAAACAAATTTGTTCCCATCCCCTGTGTTCTTCTGAGTCTGTGGGTGGTGACTGACAGTGACCGACTGTGCTGGGTGTTTCTGCAGCATTCAGCGAGCATGGCGAGAGTACTTGCAGCGGCAGGACCCCCTGGAGAAGCGGAGTCCGTCCCCTCCCTCCATCTCTTCAGACAAGCTGAGCAGCTCCGTGAGCATGAACACCTTCTCCGACAGCAGCACACCCGTGAGTGCTATGTTTCTACTTCCTTGCCACCACATATGAATAGTCTGGGCGCTGGTATCAAGAAAGAGATTTCAGGGGATAAGCAGGTAGTTTGTGGTGGTGAGGATCTGTACTCTTCATTTGCTACATGGGAATCCATGCTGAGGTTGAGGTTCTTGTCATCTTAGATGTGCTTGTTGGTCAGGCACAGAATGAACTTGGCTGCATCTGCAGAAAGAGGATTGCACTGGAATTCTACCTAAACCACTGATTTCTGTGTTCTGTTCTCATTTCTCTTTTACTGAGGTGGGTGCTCTCACCCTTTTTCTTTATAACAGTATGTTTCTTCAGGTATGTCCTTGTGTGATGCTCATATGTTTTGAAGGTCGGCTTGATTATTAGGATGAGCAATGGAAACTTTACAGAAAGAATTGAAGGCATTCATAGACTCGGGGCCATGTGAGTAGCCCACGTGGCTGATATGGGCAGAGTGTGTCTCTGACTAAGTGACTTATGCTGAAAAAGCACCTGCAGGGCTCCTGGATGCATGTGCAGATACAGGACAGAGGTGGACAAGTATAGTAGCTCTTCAGAAGCCAAACATTCAGAGTGTTAAGTGATGGCATCCGTTAAGAAGATTTAAAAGGTCAACGATCATCTTTCAGGCTGTAGTTGGCTCACAACCCTTTGGTACAGAGTAAGGAATGAAAACATTTGGTGTACATCAGTATTCTAAAAACATCAGATGTAGGTGGAAATCAATCATCAGGCACTTATAAATCAGGTTCAGTGGGTTTTCCTATTGTGATCCTTTATAACTAGTCACTGAAATGCTGAAAAGTTAGCAAGAGATGTGAAGCAATTATGCAAAGCATATTATTTAAAAAATATTCCTTTGCTACTTTGCTGTCCTGTTTATTCAGTTGCAAGAAGGTTTCTCAAAACACACTGAGATCAAGCAAAAGTTACTTTATTTGAAATGTGTCTAGAAGACTGCACGGCATGGTACATTTTCTAATAGTTTTGTGTAGCTATGGGTTTTCAGAAAGAGGGAATAAGTTGATGTTGCAGTTGTGGGAGCAGAAGAAGAAGATCTGTTTTTAATATTTATTATTTTTATTTAATTTTATGTGTGTGAATGTATTGCCTGCACGTATGTGAGTGCAGCCTTGTTGTGCAGTGCCGCGGAGGTCAGAGAGGGCTTCGGATTCCCCTGGAACTGGAGTTAAGGACGGTTCGTAGCTGCCATGTGGGTGCTGGGACTCGAACCCAGTTTCTCTGCAAGAGCAGTCAGTGCTCTTAACCACTGAGCCATCTCTCCAGCCCCACAGATGTGTTTTTAACTGACCCAGAATTGGGCCCTGTGAGAAATGGCTTCGGGTCAATAAACATATGGCCACTAGAGGGCGGATGTGAACCACATTGGAAGATGCCTGGGTTTCAAGTTTGCTTAGAGCTCATGATTTATGAGTGAAAAAGAAAGTGAAAATTGAGTGTTTAAGATGCCTTTGCTATAAACACCAATAGAAAGCGCAAATTAAATGACTCTGAAGATTCGATATGAAGAATGGAAACTCGATTTCAGAAATTACTTTGCCTGTGAGTTAAAGGTTCAGATTCACTGTCCTTGTGCCTTCTAAGAGTCCCAGTTGAGTGCCATGCAGAGTCTGGTGACCCAGTGGTTTCTGTGTTGCTTAGGGGTGCTTAACCTTTGAGATTTGTCAACTAGATGACTTTGATACCTTTGCTTTACATTTCCACTGCTGCCCTGTTTCAATTCTAGCACCTCAAGTGTTTTGTAAGTAAATGTATGTTTTTCCCTATCATGGGTTATCAAGTTTATGTCTGTTAACAGTTCTACCTTCTTTAAAGGAACCCAGCCTCTCAGTTCCCTTATAATATTTTTTAATACAGGAGCTTTCCTTGTCCAAACATCCTGTCCCCAGCAATTAGGATTTTTTCATAAGGAGTGTCACATCCGATGTTCACAGTATCATCACCCTTTAACTCTGAGAATTGAGGGACAAAGAAGTCTCTAGACAGCTACAAAAAAGATAGTCAAAACACATTTTCAAAAATTGTTATTGGAATCTGCTGTCAGAAAGGAAAAGGAACTCATAATTTGAATGGAAGTTATTGGTTATAATAATGACTTTGGGATCAGTGATGGCAGTAATGTGACCCTGAATGAACAAAATAAAGCATAAAATATAGGAAGACAAGCTGCTTCCAAGTCTCCAGTCTGGTAGGAATGGAAATAATATGACTTAATTTTATTTTTCCAGTGTTAGGTATCAAACCTCAATATGTGCATGCCATACAAATGCTCCACCACTGAGCTGCATCCCTAGTCCCACAGACATAATTAAAAAAAAATTCTGTGCATAGGGGTTGGAAGATGGCTCAATGGTTCAGAGCACTGGCTCCTTTTGCAGAAGACCCAGGTTTGGTTCCTAACACTGTTATGGCAGCTAACAACCATCAATAACTCCACTTCCAGGGGATCTGGCACCCTCTCTGGCTTCTACAGTCAATACACACATGTGATGCACTTACATACATGCAGATAAAATATACATACACATAAAATAAAAATAAAAATATTCAAATTCTGTGTTTAGTCCTTTGAAGTTTATATAGGTAGCTAAATGTTCTTTTATTCTCATAATCATCACGGTGCCAGAACCCCTTAGAGAAAGAGTCATCCTTACATCTTTTGGGGATTGCATCCCACTGGGGACAAGGTGGAAGGTGGGTGATTCTGCTGTATTTTGAGCTGCCTGCCAGACACACTGGGTCCCTATAGTCTCTCAGGATGCCCAGGTTGGGAAGCTTGATTTTCCTTCCCACTGTGAGTGGGCCTCAAGTTTATGCAGGATATGGGATGGTCCCTGGCCCTACATGTATTGAGCCTGATGACCAGGAGGTTTATTTGAAACTTTGGTGCTAAAACTTCCAGCACTTCAAACCATCATGTTGTATGTAATAAAACTGCATGATGCTATCTGATATATATATAAATATATATATATATAATACATATCAGATAACTATATTTCAGTCTAAGTCAAGTGTTGTCTGTCAGTGAATTGTCACCCTGGGGCATTCTCTGGCCCTGACTCCTTGGTCTCTTCTATTTTGTCAAACCTCATCCCTTCTCTCTGCAGTTGAATGCATGCTATTGCTGCTTAGACTATTATTCCATTATCAATCCTTTTAAAACTGATCAAATAACTGCCTGTCTTGCCTGAAGTCCCTGTCTTCCCTGTACTGACCTCTAGGACAGCCTCAACTAGAGGCCAGCCTGCCCTTGCCTCACCCAGAGCCCGATCAGCTGCTCCCCATCCCTGTACTGTAATGATGTAGTTACTGCTCATTCTTGCTGTCTGTCCCAGGCATGTATCACATAGGAAAGAAGCTCCTTGATCTGACTGAATCCCACACTGAATTCAGAATGATGCTTCTGAGTGCCTCTGCTCTCATTGTTTTGGCTGAACATAATGGTTAATATAGTTCTCAGAATATTTCTGCTTTAAAATATGTAGCAGTAGTCATGTTTAAGTGTGAGCTCTCAAATTCATTATCTTGGTAAGTGCTGAGCACTTGTTATGTCCGGGTACTTTGCTGATACTTTCCATGGATTATCTCGTTTAATCCTCTCAATGACAGTATGAAGGAGGCACAATCATTATCTCCATTTTACAGATGATGAAAATGAGACTTACAGAGATTACTAATATGCCTTGGATTACATACTGGGCTGGGGCTTGCATGCATCTCTCTTTCATTAAACTGTACCACTTGAAAACAGGACTGTGTTTAGGCATGGCCAAGATGGAGAGGTAGCAATCAGCTAATGCACTTGTAAAAGTACTTTACAATTTGATAGCTCCAAACAGCGAATAAAACAATTGAAAACAACTCCATTTGATTTCATAAATTACCTTATTCAGTGCTCTTGGATTAAAATCACAAACCTCAATGGTTCAATGCCAAATTAAAGAGCAACAGGAGAGAAGACAATCTTAAGTTTTGCTGGCAATTTGCATAATAGGTGCCCTTACACTGCGTCAGGTAGTTACTAAAAATTTTTATTTTAGACTGAAAAATTACACATACAATATCTCTGAATGAGTCCACGTGTATAGCCAAAGGCTACTGTAGACATATGAATCTACAGCAATGATCTCAGCACGCACAGGATCCATGCAAACTCAAATAGACAAAAACCCAGGATAGAACTGAGGGTATGGACAGCTGACCCCAATCTTCACTGAAGAAATATTGGCAACTGATTACTGCTGGGTGAGGAAGAGCTGATCTTCCTGAAGTGAGCCTCTAGATAGGCTGACTAGACCTCAGTAGATGAACTTGCACCGAGACATCTGGGGACGCTACCTTGACACAATAGGCCTTAAGACAAGTGACCGAATGTATGAATTCCAGTGGGGGGATTATAGGAGGATGCCAGTGGGGAAGGGGGTATAAAGATAATTAAGATTGATTGAGATGTTCTGTATGATATACATAAAAATTCAGTAATTTTTTAAATTTTTGAAATAAATTTGGGTGTTACTGGGGAATGTAAAATACTTTTCTACCTCAAAAAATGATTATTTTGCAAGGACAACAGTGATAACACTTCATGTGTTTTGTTTTTTATTTTCTTTTAAATTATTGATCTGCTTCCTGTAATAATACTTTTAGTTTTCAGCCCTAAAAGATTTTTAATTTGTCTAATAGGATACAGACTTTGAGACTGATAACCTTTTAAGAAATCATTAACACATTCTTGCAGATAAAATCAGAAAACTCTGAGATTATTTGGAGAAGTTTTTAGTCTCATTTGACTTTAATTGGCTGTCAAGACCTGACTGGCCTTGTGTAACCACACCCACTTCCTCTCATTGGTCCCCATGTTGCTATGGTCTAACCTGTAGGGGGCAGTGTGGCACACGGACTGAAGTTCTGACTTGATAAGACCATGTGATTTAAAATAGCACTCAGGGCCAGGCATGGTG